AGATCCCTATCTATATATTTAAATCAATGTTATTGGATGACTATAATAAATTTTTTCTATAAATAAAAGATCCCTGTCTATATATTTGAATGAATGTAACTTGATTATTATAATAAATATTTCACATATATGTATAATAGTATTCGAAAAGAAGCATATATTTTTATATAAGCTCGAACAAAGTTACAATTTAATGGATCATGTGTTTAATGTTGTTCTAAAGGTTTGCCTTTTTGCAATATATATTATTTAGCAATCACTAAACGTGTTCAAACTGTGCAAAACTTACCACAAAAATTATGACAATTTTTCATATCGTATCTTCGTCAATTATTGGATTTATTTTTGCTTGGTGAATGCAAATGTGAAAAAACAAAATTGTCGAAAATTATCAAATCTGAGGTAGTGAAAATCTACAAGTACCTGTCCGAAAACCATTGTATCCACGAAAAGTCGCTGTATATTACGTCGTTTGGTGGGCAATTCTTATTGATCTACCCTTTTTTGAAATTAACAAATGTATGATACAATGCTTCAATTCTTATTACTATAGTCAGACAATTGCTATCGTCACATAATTAATTACTATAGTCATAAAAAGTTTTTATGTCAAATTGAAGATATAGTTGTAAAAGATTTGACTTTATTGCGCGAAAAATTTCTTTGACGAAACTTTTGTAATCTGAATTGGCAAAGATCATTCGATTTTACATTTCTGAATTTTTTTGTAATATAATTCCAAGGATTATGAATTTCAAACTCTAAACACTTTGAAATGAACATCCGTCAAGTGATGACTCACTTATTACCAAATTTATGTCGACGAATCATTGATAATTATATGAAAGGGACCAAGTACTTGAAGCCATTCAATGAATTCAGTTGAATGACGTTGTATGCCACATTCAATAACAAAATCCAAAAAATGTATTATTACTATGTATTCACTATGTCCCGCAAATTCATTGAAAGGTGCACGAAATGAACGATTGCTTTACAAAATTTTCAAAATTGCGAGAACACCTCTGTTGCAGAGGTGTTCTCTTTAACAGCTTTAAACAGCTGTTTTTGCGGCACACCACATCCACAGAAGAAGCAACAGATGTCAAAACAGCTGTTTTTTTTGTTGCAAGCATAACAAGAGTGCAACCAATTGTTAGAAGCTTTCTGCTTGTATTTTGTTATTGTTCATTGCAAGCTCACGCAATCTGTGCATTTTGTGTACCTTGTAAAGAGTTTGCAAGACGAAATGAATACTCCGATTAAAGTTTGGTCAAGGTCTTATCCCAAATGTGTTTTATTCATGTTTTCTTTTCGAATCACATAATAAATAACACTTTACCTTGCTCTTGCTCCTAGAAACCTTATACTTCAGTAAAAATAATTGAAAGAGCGAAAGATTAAAAGTTTTTCAATTATTTGATCCTCATAGCAAATCAAATGTATTAATTACAAAAACAAAATGAAGTTATTAGTGAATATTTGCCATCAACAGATTTATTGAAATTTTTACAAGTTAAATTTTTTATATATTTATAAAAAGGAGGAATACCTATATTGAATTTCTCAATTTGTTTGTAACGGGATTGACGACATACCAAGAAAAAAATATAACCCATTAATATTTTTGATCAACATGACAGATTAAGTGATTTGATTATGTGATTATTAGATAGAGTAATAAATGGCATTTGAAAATTGTGTGGCGATGTGGTATACCTTCTTACTTAATTGACTATTACAGATTTGATACGTGCTTGACCGCATTCAGTAGCTTCCTTCAACCAGCTAGTAGCTTGCTGACGTCAGTTAATAGCACCGAGTGTCTTCATATCGTTGATCAGCCGGTCATTCCACCGAATAACTGAACATTTTCAATCGCGATTTACACCAACAGAGGCCTAATGACAATATTTCAGAGCTCCCACGAAGTTAATAAAAACTCCGATACGACGAGCCTCAAGATAAATATATAAAGTTATTTATTTCGATTTTTTATTCTTGTTTATTTACAACAATCTTCGTCCGAATGAGTTCGACATAATTTTGACAGCAAGTGAATGTACACCATTCATGAATCATGTCGTCGGATCTAGGACAGACTATATCATATGTAACTAATTCGAATATTTTTTCCTGCTTTTTCGTTGCATATTTCGAAAACTTTATATGCAGTTACAATTTAAAATTCATTTCACTAATTCGATAACGATAACTGCCGAAAATTTAATTAAAGCTCATAACTTCATCTCAAAATAATACTCCATAAACACAATTAATTACTGACACTCTTTGTCATAATAAACCAACAGAAACCGTAACAACGAAACTGTTTAATCTTTTCAAAGAAAAAAATTGCCTTATCATATTTCCACTTAAAATTAAAAAAATTGAAAAAAATTGAAAAAACCAACAACAACGAGTAATTTGAAATAGTTTTAAATAGTAGAAAATTGTATTTTGTTAATTGAAAATGGCATAAATTTTTTCCTATTCAAGTATCTGCCACACACAAAGCCCATACAACCGAGACCTGGCATATAGCCGTAAATAGGCCAAAATAAATAAAAAAAAAATGAAACAAAAATAACCCAGTCAAGTGCTCAACCTCAGCAAGCACTTGACATTTATAATAAAATTTCGTTACAACTTGAAAAGCGTTAAATTTGAAATTTTCAAGTATCTCCGCTGGAATCTTTTCTACAAAGATATCAAATTGGTCAAGCATAAATACTGTGATACTGAGTATAATACATTAACGAAACGAACTAGTTCTGTCCAATGGAATAGACACAGATCTTAAAGGTTTAAAGAGAAACAACATCGAAGGTAGACGAGATATCAAGATATAGGAAATTACTCAACAAAGTTGTAAATTTTTTATAAAAAATGTAAAAATAGTTAAAAAATTAGTTGTCTTTTAAAAAGAAGTTTCATTATTTCATAAAAGTTCGAGTTCAATTTGAACTCAATATTTTAAACATTATACTAAATATAAAAAATGATATAAAAAGACTTAACAGTTTTAACTCCTTCTCTATTAAAGTATAGTCTTGTGAAAAACAACATTTATAATTACCATCAAGAAGGCCCGACTTTAACTAAAATTTTTCTTATAAGCTAACTTATCAATTGCTTGCCAAAAAAATAAAGTATCTATCAAGTAAAACTAGCACTAAGAATGTTTCTACTCTTCAATGTCAAGTGCACATGAAAGCATAAAAAACTTTTTTCTTAACCTAATACAAAAAAAACACAATTTTCTTAACTTTCTGAACTTTAGTCGTTAAGACTATATCATTTACAAGTACTATAATGAGCCAAAGCCTCTGCAATGAAAAGTCAAAAACTTCAGAATAAAAAGCTATGATATACACAGACGACAGAAAATGAAACACTACTAATAAAATAGCGTTATTAACCCATTTCGATTTCTTGACCTATGACGATTACTCGCACAGCAAAAGTTCCAACAGCAACCTAAGTAGATAACTGCAATCAAATACATACAAGACATAGTGTGCTTCTATGTCCTGTCTGTCATACAAGCCGTCCATAACACTTTTTAAACTAATATTCATAGTGTGCTTCTATATCCTGTCCTTCATACAAGTTATCCCTAACACCTGTTATACTAAAACGGTTACTATTAACCATCTTTTACCTCTATTATAATAACAAGAATACGTTTAGCTATTGCTAACCTATATTATAATAACACGGTTACTCTTAACCATTCATAACCTCTATTATAATGAAGTTAATGCTAATTATAATGGAACTAAAAGCACTGCAGATTTAGATCACAAGATCACAAATGATCTTAGAATGAAGTAGAAATCTTGTGTAAAATGCTCTTGCATTACCTTTTCTACTTTCGAAAATGTTGCCCTCTATACCATGATAAATATTAACAATAACAGTTCAAGAAACCAAAATTGACAGGCCTTTCAACATCATTTTCATACAATCCATCCAAATAACAAAGACCTACATTTATCTGGATGAACTTCGCAGAAATAAATCTCATTGCTCTTACGTCTAAGAATCGGATACACCTCTACATCACATAGATAGCCCATAGAAATCTTCCAGCTTTTTCGGTGGCCCAATTTCACTTCTTCACTTCCTTGATTAGTGCGGCATTTTATCTGTTTGAAGATAATGTCATTTTGGGCCCATTTCTATCATCCAAGCCTATATCGTATCCTTCAACAAATTCCTAGTAGAAGTTTGAAACCTAAATTTTATAATAATTTTAAGTCTCCCTCATTTATTTCCTTTATCTGTTTTTAAACACCATATTATTATCCACTATCTTATTTTATAAACTTTACAATTCGTATTTGTTATTATTAAAGTCCACATTAGTCTTTCACTTAACCATTTTTTTATTCGAAAACTCAAAGGCCTCTGTAACCAGTACTGTTCTGTCTCCAATTTATAATATTTTAAAAGCTATTTACTTACTCACTTATTGCTGTCCTTTTCTCCTAATAGCACATAAGGCCTCAAATAAATATATATATATAAATATATAACATATGTTATGTCTATAAGAATTTTTTTAAACATTTTTTGCTTTCATGACCGAAACTTTTATTAATAATTTTGTTTATGAAATAGACTAATTGTTTAAAATTAGTTTTTCAAAAAATTTTTATTTATTCTCTGAAGTACCCTGAAAATGTTTACAGAATATAGTCGAAATATTGCTGTAATTAAAAAAGTTTTTAAAGTTGTAAATGTATTATTTTACAATTGACCAATTAGCCTGTTTCAAAAACAAAATTATTAATAAATAATTTTTTATTAATATTAACCGATATCGATAATGGGAGAGCTAATCCACTAAGTTACTGTAAATACTGCGAAGTGCTTCTTCCACGAACAACTTTCGTTGGATTTGGCTCGTCTTCGAAGACCCACACTGTCGATTGCTGTTTTGTTTCGACCTCATATCTTACGTATAGATCCATAATTCGTCACCTGTAACGATCTTAAAAACGTCTTTTGAAGTACCGCGGTCGTATTTTTTCAACATTTCTTTGCACCAATGGACACGACCCCTTTTTTTGAGCGATTATCAAATTGTGCGGGATCCAACGAGAACAAACCTTTCTTACGGCCAGGTGTTCATGCAATATTGAATGTGTAATGGTGGGAGAAATGCCCAAGGATGCCTCTATCTCACGGTATGTCACATGACGATCTTGCATTATCAGTTCGCTCACGGCTTCAATGTTCTCTGGCACAACGGCCGTTTTTGGACGACGTTCACGGAATTCGTCGTTGAGCAAGCGTCGGCCACGATTGAATTCATTAAAACAGTTTTTCACAGTGCTATAGGATGGTGGTTCATCACCATACAAAGATTTAAGTTCATCAATGCACTCTTGTCGTGATAACCCACGTCGAAAGTTGTGAAAAATGATCGCACGAAAATGTTCTCGTGTTAATTTCATTTTTTGGCCGAGATGAATTTTTCAAGTCTCTGTAAATAAAACAATTCGCAATTTAATGACAACACGTTCTGAGTGATGTTATGCTAAAAAATGTCAACCTTTCCAATGGAAATGTCAGATTGCACCTGGCAACACTTAGTGTTGCCTAGGCCAGAAATATATATAGCAGCCCTCATATCAAAATATATAGAAAGGAATAAACCAAGGTGATACTTAACCAATGTTTTTGATGTAGTATCCACGATTATTTCTCGTAACATTATAAATGGTTTATAGAAGAGTAAATTATGTACTTTTTTATTCAATTCATTTATTATTTGGTCGTCTATATTTAATAACTTTAGATTTCATTTCTTAATAAATGAATTCATATTTAAATTGTTTTTTCATTTAATTCATATTTAGTTCTTATTTAGGCCACATATGTTATTAATACTTAAGATCTATATATCTATCCTGATGAAACTCGTTTTCGTTTACTTCTACTTAAACGAAATAAATCACTTTTTTAATTACAATAAAAACAAAAAATGAAGTTCCTGGTCATTTGAAAAAGGTTAAAAATAATTCATCCCGTTTGCGCTGATGATTCTTATAAGAATAAATTGATTCTTTCGTATATTATATTTTTAACATTTTATTACTGTTTAAAATTTTTTTAAAGTTTTCGAAACATTGAAAGATTGAAATCTAAAGTTGTACCTATGTTAAAATACTCATAAAACATAATCATGTTTAAATATGTTTAGCTTAATAAAAAAAATAAACATAAGTAAGTAAATACATTCCTCAAATGTTTCTCCAACTACAACACATTCCAATCGCTCAACAACTCTCGACGTGTATTAAGCAACTAAAATAGTTAAAAATAAAAATGAAAAATAAATAAGCAATTTACATACATAATCAATGGAACATTTAAGCTGAAGAGCGATCTGCCGCCATGATAAGAACCAAGATACCGTCAAGTGCTCAACGAAATCGATACGAGTTCTTGTTCGAGACAATCGTGGGGTGTGTCTAAAGAATTTCAGATATTAAGCAAATAAATTTTGCATTACAAATGAATTTCTTAATAAAGAATAACAAAAATAATGGCAAAATTAGTAATGAAAATAGAAATATTGAAACTTCAAATGTTTTCGAAGTGTCATCTATCAATCCTCGAAATGTCAAAATTATGTTAAAATAGCAAACAGGTAGGTCCATAACTGAAGTAGTTAACAAGAAGAAACGCAGCTCCGAAAATAAATAATAGGCCAAATCTACACACAAATACTGGCGTCATTCATACCGCCAACTCCAACTCCAACAACAACACAACGAATATCGGCATCAATTTGGAAATACCAGTACTAAGGCACCAGCTCGATGATGGCAACTTCTGGCCAAAATGTCGATGGTGCTAGTTAATGTGTTTAATTATTGCTGCTTTGCATAATAAATTTCACGCTTGTCACTTGACTCTGATATCCGTGGGTGTTTCTATTATTGTTGTAGTCATTTTGTAACTCTTGTTAGCAATAGAATTCTTGTTTAGTAAGACTGAGCTACATATTCAAACGGTATATTAAAATATACAAGGTGTTTTGTTTTTTCAATCATTTGAATTATTTAGTAATTATGTTAAATTGCATTTTAAATTCATTTACAACCGTAGTGATTGTTTTACTCAATAGAAACTATTCTACTTGATGGAGAGGTTTTGAAAAGCAACGAAATACAACAACAAAAATTTTTATTATTAATGTTACATTAATTAATTGAATTTTTGGCTGACCAAATAGCTGTTTCGGGTATTACCAAATACCTATCAATAATGGAATTGGAATTATTTCTTATATTTAATTATTCGTAAATAATTTTTGAGACTGCAAGTACCAACGGTTAAAATAATATAAAAAATAAAAATGTTTGTTGTTGTAGTTCATTACTTTTAAAACCTCGTTATTATTATCTATTTAAATGCATTTTTTTTTTGAGTAACTTTGAAATGGTACAAGAAAAACTATTGACAATTATTGCAAACTTTATAATAATTAATTATTTCAAATAAAAGTAAGTTAAAAATAATTAAATATTAATTTAAAATATTATTTTAATACGTATTACTTTACTTTATTACTACATATATTATTAATATAAGATTTAATACGCTTAGGTAGACTTTAGATAGATATAATTCTAAAAGCGAGGGATATTGTGTTATAAAATATCAGTTACCCTTAAAATCAAAAATAAAATAAAGTGAGAAAGCGCAAAGAAGCTTATTGAGTATTAAGTCAAACATAAATGGCCGATGTTATCAAAATATTGATTTAATGTGTATATTAATCACCAACAATCATTTGTCGTTGTTATGAGTCTGCAGATGAAAAAGAATCTATACTCCACCTTAAGTGTCAATCCCCATCATTGGCTCAGAGAAAATTCAAAATTCTTGCGTTGTTTCTTCTTATCGACTTGATACAAATGTCATCCTGTAAAATTACGAACTTGACTATCGATTAGTCTATCGATTAGTTCACTGATATGTCGGAGTTAGGGTTTTCAGTGGTGTTCGTACGCTGATCAATACGACTCTTTCGGAAATCCTTCCGTTCTACGTACAAAAAAATGCATAACATTTAAACTAATCTAACTCAACTTCCTTATTTCATGAGTATTTACAACTTCTGCATACAACTTAGAAAGTATTAGCTCAGGACTAGATCTAGTGAATAGGAAATTAATTAATTCAGAACGCAATAAATTAATTTTATCAATAAATACTGTATATATGCATAGTATGAGTCGCTAATGTTAACTTAATAACACAAAATTTCCTTTGCATATGAGGATTTTTTAGATATTTACATACAATTTATTTAGTAATGTTTTACAAGTATTATGACCTTATTCTATGACCTTCATCAAAGTAGTCGATCAGAAATACTCCTTAGTTTTTACAAAAACTTACAGTCATAACCTCCAAGATTCAGACTGGCTCCTTCTTCTTCGCAGTGTGTACTTTTCTTTGCAGCTCTTTCATATTTTCCACTCCATAAAATTTATTATGACTTGAATTGTGTTGTACAAGGGTTCTGGCAAAACTCAGTGTTTTTTGACATTTTAAAACCTTAGAAATCTTTAAATGATCACATTTTTTGTCCCAAACTGGCGAGCGTAGGGCGCCGAATATTTTATTTTATAGCTAAATTATGCAATACCGTACACTAGCAATAAATCCCGGGCCCCAAATCTTTAGTGAGTTTTGCGTTGTTTATTTATCGAATATCCTATATTTATTAAATGACACACATTTTTAATGTTTTTATCACTCTTTTATTACAGCATTTGACGACATAGAATGGTCTCCATCTATTAAATTTAAAATACAACTCACCTTTCTACTATAGCACATAATAGCATATAGTAAACGACATCCAATTTGAACTTAATTTTTATTTACTTAATATAATTTAAAGATTTTGGCACAACGCTACATACGATTCTTATCATTTTCACTGAGACTTGAAGTCAGCCAGTGAAAGAAATTATTTTGTGAAATACCTCTGATCAGGTGACTGCTTACTATTTGTGGATTTATTTTTAAATATGTGTATTTAACTAATACATAAATTTATATAGTCAAAGTCAGATAGATATAATATATATAATAGATATCAGATAATAGATAATAGATAGGTATAAATCATAAATAACTATTTACAATTATAAGTTTTTTTAAAGTTATCTTAATTGAAAAATATTATTACCAAGTCTCAACTTGACTTCAACTCACGTCTTCATATTGTCAAATTCTTACTTATAATGACCAATTAAAGCACATCTACTTCATGTTATAATCTAATTGTAGTAGTCGAATAGAATCATAGTGACCGCTTGTAGCGGTTGCTTATGATCTTCTGCTATCTTATTTACCATAGAAATGAAACAGCAATACCAAAAACCCGAAATTTCTCATTATACATACAGAGATTGGAAAAAATTAAAGTGTGAATCTTTTTTATTGAAATTCGATTTCAAATTTTTTATATTACATTTTGGTGGCTCATTAATATGATTGGCTTAATTGACAATCTTGTTCGAGCGTAGATTTGACACTTTACCTTATCATAACAAATTGACAGGTGTTTAAAAACTGACATACCTACCGTTTGTGTTTGTTGGATGTTTTCTATTTTTCAAATAATTTGCTTATTTATCATTTCATTTTCAATACTGAATGAAATTGATTTTTCGAAAAGTTTTATTGTTTTGCATTTGAATTAATGAAATTTAATGAATCCGTAAATTGAGCTCGAGTATGAACAAAGAAGATTTTTCGTTTCCATTTAAAAATTAATTCAATCCATAGATGAGCATTGTCACTGAAGTTAATTTATTTAAATTAACATTTAGCTTTCTTATATTGGAAAATACATATTATAACATTTATTAGTGAATTTAAACAAATATCTTTGTCAAAACATATTTTGTGATTTTTGTTAGTTTTTTAAGTATATTTTATATAAATCCATTAAGTCTTTGTGTTTCTTTGTATTTGAAATTTACAAATTTACGAACTTATATATCTAAGATTCTCTGTTTAAAATAATATTGAAGTGCAAATTATCACTGCAGTTAAAAACTTGGAACTAGCATCAGAGTGAACGACATTTCAGCAAGGAGTCGTCGAAACTATTACACATAGATTTTTGAAAAGTCTCAAGATAAGTACAAAAACAAAAGTCCTCATTTTAACAAATTCTTTTCTTTCTGATGTGAGAGGGTGAGAAGTGGATGAGTGAGATTTTACATAGTTATTGGACTATTCACATAAACTAATGGAAAAGCTGTCAGGCATCAATTTTTTGTAACTTATTCCGTAGAAATGAAATTCCATTGAAATAATTTGAAATACACGTAATGCACAATATCTTGGTTATCATTAAACCATTGAAACAATTTTGACTTACTGATATAAATAATTCATCTAAAATTAACTAAACTACTAAAATGAG